TAGGGGAAGTGATGTAAGACTGCGGGGGAGCCGTGGCATTCACTAGCAGCCGGATAGTAAGGGAAGTAGTGTTAGGTTGTGAAAGGATCGTAGCATTCATCGGTCTAAAGTAGATTGTTTATGTGATGGTCACAAGCATAAAAGGGAGATCGTCTCGTGCTTTGGGCACAACGGCCAGGGTTGGCAAGGAATTACTCTATGTTCTAGGATGAGGATCTTTGGGGTCCGCGGGCGAGCCCGGATGATTACGGGAATTCATGATAGAACTAGTAGAGACCGTGGGGTCAAGGGTTGGATCTTGAGTTGCAGGACATACGGGTAACCAGTGCATGACGTAGAAGAGTCTAGGCTGGGTGACCCGGTTGTTGACTCTTGGGAACTTGGTGGTTGGACCAGGTGCGAGATTGGAAGTCCCGAAGATAGTTTGGGCATACCAATCTATCAGATTGGTAAAGGGGTTGGTATTTAGGTAGTTGTGGTGCATTTTGCAAATGCATATTTATGGATCTTGGGGTAGGAACGGAGTATCGATTCGGTTTTGGGTGAGATCCCGAATCGGAGTTCGCACGTGATCAGTGCAGGATTTCGTTCCAGTGAGATGATATTTGGGACATCTATATGTCAAGGGCATCAAATGCAGGATTCCAGGGTAATGAATGGGTTTGGTTCAATGGTAGCTTAAGCCATTGTGATGTGTCTCGGGCTGGTTCTACCTGTAATAGAGCCACGACATGTTGGAATCAGGAAACGGCAGGTTGAAGAAGACCGGGAATGAGGTAAGATTACCGTTATGCAGGTAGCGTTCACTTTTGTATTGGATTCGGTGGCGACGTGTTGTTAGGCTATTATGATCGAATGTATCAGAAGGATTGATGGAACCATGAGTGGCGGCATAGCTAGGGCGGTTATTGCTAGACAAGGTATCCTTCGGAGGTCGCGTGTGGCAAGTGTGAGGTTGCCCGTTGGTTCAGCAACCGGACAGGAACCCGGTATTCCAGATGTGGGCATTTTGCATCTGGTTATGGTAAGTGAATTCATTCAGTTGGTAACACCAAGATAATCAGGAGTGGAGGTGTTTGTCGGTCAATCATTCCTGGAGAAAATTTTGATACTGTTTCAGAATAGGAAGTCTGTCAGAGAGCCAGACTAATGTAAGAATTCGAGTACCGGGAAAGCAGAAGTAGTTCCTCTCAAGAAGGGAAGGAGTTATCTTCCATCAGGTTTGGAGCGAGTCTGGTGTGGATGGGTTTTGTTGCTTTTAAAAGGTCATTGAATGCTCGGGGTGACGGCTACATCTCTCGGGATGTCAAGTGTCGGTATTCGTTAGGTTCAGAACGGGTGGTCGGTTATTGGTGAGAGTTGGATACTCAAGTTTTATCGAGGTTTAAGTACTCTCAAGGCTTAGCCTTAAGGGGTGACACCGGGTTCGGGAAGCAGGGCTGAAGGCCATGTATAGTGATTATGTCAGGATTTGGCCCCGATTGGCGAGGGGTGCATCGTGTAACTGTTGCGGAAGCTGAGACTGATTCATAGTGCATATTATGTCTCAGCCACGTAAGTGGATGGACAATGATTCAGTTGCGGTTCCTTTGGTCGATATTCAGGATAAGGAACACCTGCATCATGTAGAGAAGTTAGCATCAGTTATCGAGCAGAAAGCGAGGACCTGGAAGAACAAGATGGCGAGGTTAGAGGAAGTGACATGTAAGCGGTATCCGGACCCTGTGCATCAGAAGACTTCGAGGACGAAGTCTAGTTCAAGTGGGGGAGATTTGTAACTCTTGGTTCAAGTATGGAATAAATATATTAAGTTTTGAGTTTTGTAGGGAACTCGATGAGTTAGGAGGCTCCAACTCGTCGTGTAGAGATCTCTTCAGTCGCGCATCATTTGAGGTCTACTCGACGAGTTGGAAGGCCCCAACTAAACGAGTTGATGCTGTAAAGGAAAACCCTAATTTTCAGGATTTGTACCCTATTTAAAGGCCTTAAGCCTCACTTGTAGCCTCCCTTATCACCCCTTTGTCCAGAGAAACCCTATATCGTGTCTCATCTCCAATTTTGAGTGTGTAAGGGCTTAAGGAGTGTTTTTTTTTGTGTTTATGTGAAGAAACTTGAAGTGGTCGGTGCATGGCTGAAGGGAGAGGCTGTAGATCCGGTGTCTAAGCTGCTGTGGCAACCATTTTAAGGTATAAAGTCGAAACCTTGACCTTCCATTGCTTAGATCTTATTCTATGAAAACTTATGGCCATTATTAGCCTAGTTTGGGACCATTCTTGGTTTTGAGCATGATATGAAGATATGACTTTAGATCTGGACATCTCAGGGCCTTTGGGGACTTAAAGTTGCCAACTTTATCAAGTATTGGCCCTCCTTCATGCTCTAAGTCCCTTGATAAGCTTTGATTAAGTGTTTTTAGCCTTTAATGCTTTGCATGAATGTAAAGTTAGCAACTTTACATGGTATCTTAACCCTAAGGGGTTGGATCTGTAGTTTGGGGCTTTAGATTCGACTAGGAAGGGGATGAATATGTTGAGACAGGGGAAACTCGACGAGTTGCCCTGGCAACTCGACGAGTTAGGTCAGGTTTTCCCGCTTTCTGGATACTGAGCAGACTCGGCGAGTTGGCTAGAGTTTTTCCCGGTTTCTGAACACCGAAGGAACTCGACAAGTTGCTAGATGCACTCGACGAGTTGGGTTAACATTAACTGTTGATCTTGACTGTTGACTGTTGACTGTTGACCAGGAGTTGACTAGGGTTGACCATTCAGTATTTTAGGCCTTTTTGGTATTGGGCCTTCTCGGATTAGGTCCATTAATGGAGTTATGGACAGTATAGTATTGGGCTTGGGCCTCAGTTTTGGATCATATTGGGCCAGGGGTAGAATGGTCATTTTACCCCATGTATGGATTAAGGATTATAGTAAGGAACCCAATTGCTAATTGGGTATATTGATTGGTATTGGCAGCTCGTGAAGCCGGGGGGGGGGGGGGGGGGGGGGGGGGGGGGGGGCAGCAGCTAAGGATGTCATTCGGGAAGCTTCTGCATTTGAGGTGAGTCTCTTTACCATACCAATGGGTCTAAGGCACCAAGGCCGGCCCATTTTATGATATGTGGTACACTAGCTGATGTAGTGTTATGTGGCATGTTAGTTGGTTATATGCTAGGAGGTATGCTAGTTGTATATGTGGTATACCTGTATGAAAGACCATGGGGGAGCCCATGACACTTGGATGTCAGACCATGTGGAGAGCCCATGGCTTTCCTATTAAAGACCATGGGGGGAGCCCATGGCACTTGGATGTAAGACCATGTGGGGAGCCCATGGCTTTCCTATTAAAGACCATGGGGGAGCCCATGACACTTGGATGTAAGACCATGTGCGGAGCCCATGGCTTTCCTATTAAAGACCATGGGGGAGCCCATGGCACTTAGGTGTAAGACCATATAGGGAACCCATTTCATCCCGGAGTAAGACCCTGGGGGAGCCCACATCATCCCTATATGTTGTATGCATGGCTTATGTGGTTTATGTAGCTATATTGTAGCTAATATGGATTATGTGATTGATGGGGTTTATGTTGCTTTTATAGCTAACATGGATTATGTGATTATGTGGATTGTGTGAGGTATGCTCTGGAGAACTCACTAAGCTTCGTGCTTACAATTTTTGTTTATGGTTTCAGGTATCATCAGTTTGGAAAGGAAGAATCCGGCTTGATCGCAGCGCACACACCCGTGTTTTCCGTATCATGTGATTTTGGGATGTAACTCTGATAACTGTTTCAATTAAGCAATGTTTTTGGAATGCTCGGATTTAAAAAATAACTATGTTTTTACTATTATAAAAACGAAATTTTTACCCCTGATTTTTGGTTTGTTACACTCGGAATTGCACTTCATCTCGGAATGATCTTCTTATCTTGGAACATCTACTCATCTTGGACTTATCTCGGACTCAGCTGACTTCGGATCTTGAGTGATTGCTAGAGGTTCACTTTTCATACTTTTCATGATTCAACAATTTGTCATTTAACTTGGAAATTATGTTTAAAATATATCATTATGAGCGAGTGTTGTAGACGAACATGTTTTTTACACATCCGATGACATCTACCGTCATCTTCTCCAATGACTCCTATGACGTTAACATATTTTTTTGTCATTGAACACAAACTTGAAATCATTTTTGCCATTGAACATGGTTTTAAAATCAATTATTGCGTTTAAGAAAAAATCGTTTTTGAATACCCATGTTCAACGTTTTTGTATAATTATCTTCAAGAATTTTTTTTGCAGATAACTTGTTCATCTCCAAAAATATGTTGCGCTCATTTTGTTTTGGAAATCATGTTTAAGAAATCATTTTTACATGTGTGTTCAAGAAATTATTTTTTTTAGATCATGTGTTTCTTCTCCGAAAAGATATCAAAATTGAGAGATGTAGAATATGGTCATTGGAAAATTCACGGTAGCCGGAGATTTAATGGAGATGTCTGGATCGTCGGAAACCGATCAAGCCTAAAATACCTAGTAATAATGGTATATTTTGAACAACAAGTTTAATAGTAAAATTATGTAAAATAACTTTTAATGATTAAATGTGTATATGGTGCATGATTTATTACTCTTACAAGTCATTAACCATAATAATAATAATAATAATAATAATAATAATAAACACTAAATTCATGAAAATTATATTGATATGTTCAATTAATCATCCATAAAAACCTATCATTAGATTATATATTAAATAATCCACAAAATAAATACACATTAGATTATATATTAAATAATCCACAAAATAAATACACATGACATGACGATATTAACTTAAATCCGCACCATACACGTGGTATTATTTAATGACCCGTGAAAATTAGTCCTCGGCTTCCAATATAATCATAAACAACGGTCTTGATAACACATTCTGGATCAATAGTTATTCGCTGACGATTACTATTAATGAAAATTGTGAAGATGATCGCCATTTTCATGTTTAAGATATGACCACCGGCCGAAACAAACTCCAGTTTCCTATTCCCTTATTCCCGTTTCCACCGTCTTTGCAACTCCTTAACCTAAACTCAGTCGACTCTTGATCGAACGAGTTTGCTGCTACCCGAGTTGGTCGTTTTGAGTTTGAGTTACGTCCATCTACCCCCCACCACCACCCACCATCTTCCACGTCACCATCACAAGATTCTTCTTCACCACCTTCCTTTTTCTTATTAGCCCTCCCAGTTTCAACATTTTCACAACAGTCCTTCGACAGAGACAGCCTAAGTCTCCCATCCGTACGTTCTGCTTCAAACTTTGTACCACAGTCAGAAACACTCACAGCTTTGATTACCAACCGGCCACCTTCCCTGTGAGGGCTCACTTTCACAGTACCATCTGAGCCACTAATGGAGGTCAACGGCGGCGGAAAGCCTCCACGGTGGCTCCGGCTCGCCACTTTCCGGTATAAATTCCTAGCTTTTGACCGAAACATCTCTCTCTCCTCCCAGTTAAGCTCATCACTGCTTTCACTCACATCACTCCCAGTTTCAGTACCTAAACTCTCCGTACACATTTCTAAGCTCATCGAACTTAATGTCGAAGCAGAAAGCTTCACCATTGGATGAACATAAACTTCCTCATTTTTAAAATTACTATTGGAAGACGGGTTTTCAAGAACATTAAAAAAACTGAACCCATTGTTCTTGCTAACTCTCTCACCATTTTTATCGCCTGTCACAGAATTTGCTTCGGTATTCGGTTTTTGATGCAGTTGGGAAGGTTTTGAAGACGATTTGTGGGTTAAAACCGTTGATTCTGTTAGAGGAGGTTCCAGGCAAGATTGCAAACCTTGACACACTGTGGAGGCCATTTGATCACAATGTTGATCGATCGATCAGAACAGAAAAAAACAGAATAAATTTTGTTTTTTTTTCCAAGAAAATTTTGAAGAAACTTTTGGATGATCGAAAGATAAAAACTTTATGAGGAACTGAAGAAAACCCAAGTTGTTTTGGAGTGGAAAATTAGTAGCGTTTGTGGGTTTTGGAATGGAGAGTAATGGGAAAGTATGAGAAGAGGAGTAAAGGGGTGGAGGGTGTATTTATAGAAGATTAATGCATGTGAGGTCTCTTTTTCCCAAGAGATGCCACTAGAATTTATTCTGTTATTTTTTTTTTCTTAACTACTATATTCGATATTTTTATGTAATTACAGTAATATTCAATTAATTAAAAAAATACAGATTTTGTAATTTGTAGAATGTAAGTGATTTTAACAAAATATCCCAATAATGCGTTTTTTATATTTACGTTTTAATAGATTACCTTATATTAAATGTTATAAAACATTTCATTTTTTCATATATATTCAAAAACTAGTTTTGCGATCTATGTATTACATGAGTTTATTAAAAAAAAATCAAATATGAAAATCTACCAATTTAAAAAGTTTAAATTTATAAGAAAAAAATAAAATATTTAATTATTAAAGTTGAAGTGTTTATTTATCTTTTTTTATATGTTAATTTTTGTTAGAACAAAGTTCTAGTAGGATCGATAGATTCTAAGCAGAAAAACAATTAAAGACGTAATGATGAACACATGAATGGTTTAACTGATGTCGAATGATTAAACTTTAACACCTCAGAAGAGCTCGATTAAGAACTTCGACTGTAGAGGTGTTTAGGGTTACAAAACAATAATAACTATAATCACGTTCGTTTCTAAGGCATACATGCATGCACTATTTATAGCTAAACCTTATAATAATCACGGATGGACAGGCCCAATCCGGATATACAATACTAAGCCCATGACGCAACATAACATACCCAACAATCTCCCCCTTTGCGTCAATGGAGCCGAAAGCTCAGTTCGGTTGAGCTATAGAAGACTTCTTGACAGTCTTGAACACCTTCGGTATGATGGCCAAAAGAGTATGACGAAACGTGATATACCACCGAAGCATGTCCGTGAAGTTCTTCTTGTCTGCCTCAGAGTTCTGCTTGCACCGATGGATGATACTAATTATGTGCTCTAAGCAGTCCGTTGAGAACAGATGTTTGTCAACAAGAGCGAAAAGAAATCTATTGGCTTCGCCTCTTGTGAACATCACCGTGAGATGTGTAGAATCAATTTGGCCCATCTTCATTTTATTCACATCTCCAGGTTTTGCTATTGGCTTTACAGTGGGTTTCTTATTCATAACTTTAGCTATCTCCTGATCCATTGCAGCTACTTCATGGATATAGGAGGCCAACATCCTCTTTAGATGATCCAAGATCGGCTCATATTCTTTCGGATTAGTGAGCAGTATGTTAAACAACAAGATCCAATCATAAGGATTCAAGTTTGGAAGATCTTCCAGGGATATAACCGAAACCGAGTTTGCTGAACCTCGGGTTATTTTGAAACTAACATTGATAAACTTCCCGGCAGGTGAAGGTTTCAGCACCTTGACAGTGATAATCTTCTGTGCACTCCATATCAGGTACTGAGGCTGACCGAACTTCAGATAAAAATCGATAAGTTCGCGATCAACTTTAGGATGAGGGAAGGGAACTTGAACAGTCGAATCAAAGCAATGAAATGTAAATGCCTTTCGTGTTATAGGCATATCGAACTGTGAGTCCCTTGAATTTTCACAATCAAAAGAAGCGACAGGTTCCAGCCAGTACACGCTTGGAAACTCTATTGCCTCTTTGATGAGCGTTTCTCTTGTCCAGAGAGGAAACAAGGCCTTTTTACAGTTTATAGCATCTTGCTCTTCCTTGTTCTTTCGCTCCCTTTCTTCAGCTTCCTTCGCAACCCGAAGGGTTTCATCCAATTCCTTATCCCTTTTCTTTCGTTTTAGGGCCTCGACAATTGTCTCTTCTTCTTCATCACTATCATCATCCAATCCCTTTTTCTTATCTTGATAACCAGAACCCGAAGCTTCATTACCCTTCGGTTCGGTTTTGACTGTGACCTTCGGTTGAGTAGTGTGAGCACCTTCTCCCCCTTGTTTTGGAGGGACGAATCTCTCCGAAACACCCTTCATTTCATGTAAGAGAGCAAGGGCAGGAAGAAGTTTGGAAGTCAAATGATTCCTGATGGTCAGAGTAAGTATTGGATCATGAGCACTAAGAAGATTGGTAAGCATATTCTTGACATCCCCAGCACAGCTCCGAAAAACAGCTCGCTCTGTCTTTAACAATGAAATCTCCTTTTCAGCTTGAGCTAATTGCACTTTCTGAACTTCAATAGTAGAGGCTTGGCGTGCAAGATCTTCCTTTAATGCACTCTCCTTTGCTAAATCAGCTTGGAGTGTTTGAAGATGAGAAGTCACTGAGCTAAGTAGAGAAGTGTTCTCAGCTTGAATGGAAGAACGAACAGACTCAAATTTAGCTTGCTCCTCTTTTAGTGACTTGGATAAGGAATCAACTGAAGCGTTCACTTTGGTTGCATTTGAATCAGCATGTCCTTTGAGTGATTCAAGAAAAATCTGAGAGCTGTGAACAAGTTCTGCAACTTCAGCAGTGGCCTTCTTGCAAGGAGAAGTGGAATCCTCAACGGCCTTCGTCGATTTGTCAATGGCCCCAGTATATTGCTCAAAAGCAGTGTCCAGAAAAGCTTTGAGCACAACATCGTTGTATGAATTGTTGGAGGCAAACAATTGATCAAGCTTTTCATCAATACTCTGCAGTTGTTGTCGTGAGACAGAAGCCTCTTCATCTTCATCTGTTGGAAGCCGATAAAGCCTGTAATAAGTCGAGTCAAACTCAACATTATCACCACCAAGAGTATCACCAGAATCGGTTGAAGGTGAGGATGAAAGAGGTTTGGAAGTAACAGGAGGTTCGGTTTTAGTATTCGCCCCCGTATCAGATACGTTGACGTTAACTGTCGGTTCGGTTGTAGTGGTGGTAGTTGCTTGGGAAATGATAGGAGGTGGTAAAGGAGTTGTAGAAATTGGTATGGTACTAACTGGTGGTGGTGGTGGTACAAAAGTTGTTGTTTGAGATGTGGGAGGTGGTGGAATAGAAGTGGTGGTGTGAGATGTAGGAGGTGGTGGAATTGGAGCAACCGAAACTGGAACAGTGGTTTGCGGCGGAGATGGAGGAGGTGTTGGAACCTTGTCATTAAGAGGTTCGGTGGGAGTTGGAGAACGAGGAGGTGTGTTACCTCTTGGTGATTCATGATGTTGAATTCCTCTTCCTCATCTCCTCATCATGCTGAGCTTGAAGGGAAGGACTCTTTGGATTTCTTTGCCATCTTCTTAATCTTCTTTGGAGCCGAAGAATCACTTTATCAGCCTTCGCTTTTTAGACTTGGCAGGCTTAGACGAAGGACCTTCGGTTGTCACTTTCTTGGTAGTTGCCCTTTTTCCTCGGTTGGCTGGCTTCTCCAGCATCCAAAGCAGCTTGCTGTTCAGGAGTCAGTACTCTCGGTCCTTTTGGGAGGAAGCTTTCGGTAATCAGCCATCACTTACTTTCGGCTGAACACACCTGTACATCGTCTCAGGTATGGAACCATTGTGGGAGAACTTTGTGGCATCAGAGAAGATGATCTCTTCGTATGAAAGGTAGCCACAGACGAGACCAGGGCATCCTTCATTACTGGAATCTGCAAAGAATCAATAGCCCTTCGCGTGTGATGATGGTCCAGAAGCGACCACAAGAAATTTCAGAGTGTCTCGTTGAAGTGTTGAGACTTTGCACCAATTGTGACCAAATAATCGACCCATAGTCGAGATTAATCCCATTGTAGAGGACCATAGAGAATGGTCAGAAAACCCTTACTGGTACCATCTGACCCAGCAACCCTCTCCGCCAAACTTTGTTGAGAAGAGTAAGCAATCCATTCCATTGTGGCGGCAAACATGATTTCTTAACCTTCGTCACGGTGGTAAGAACATCAGTGTATCCCATCTCGTAGAGCATTGTAAACAGTTGAGTTGTGGTTACGAAGGGAGAGATAACAGAGGCATCGACGGCAAGCTTTAACAGGGAAATAACAATCACCCTTTTGAAATTGTGCCGTGCGAGAAGATTTGAAAGTAGATCCTCTCCTTGTTCTTGTCATAGGTTGCAGTAGAATAGACTTGGGATAGAAGAGACATTGGGACAGATTCCACCTGTGTGAGTGCGATAACCAGAGGAGAGTATTTGAGGCCATTCAACAACTTGGAGCATGTACGAATCATACAGAGAAACGGGGTTCAGTTGAATGATCATGTTCTGATTGGGTTTGATCACGAGCAATGAGGACGAGATGAAGCAGTTTGATCTTGAACAGATGAGGAATCCGCCATTGTTGAGGTAAGGAAGAAGATGAACAGTTGCAGATCGCCTTGTGTATTGAGAGAATTTGAAGAAGGTAAGAAGGTACAATATGTGTGAGAAACCCTTTTATATACCGTTGCCAGGAGAGAGAAAGAATCTTCGTGATGATGATACGATCACTGAAACGTCGCCTAAAAAAGCGCGATGTGACAGCTTGGTTTCCCCAGATAGACGTCATCAAGCGTGGGTTTAGGAAACCGTTCAAATTCACGCGCCCAAAATCTTATCCACATATCGTCTTTTCAAATTCACCTTCGCTTCAGATAGATAACCATTTTCGCGCTTAAAAGAAACTTTCAAACAGGCCATAGGAAACAACAACCAGAATTTGGAAAATCACAAAGTTTCGTGCAAGAGTGTGCCAAAAATTAAGAAATAAAGCGAAAATGTGTATAGGATGTGAGTGATGTCTGTTAGAAGACATTTAAAGCAGATGATTCCGGGCAAGAATCTCTTCCTTCAAAGTCAAGAGAGACTTGAAGTGCTTGCGTGGTTTCCCGAAACAATACGACGAGTGCTTGTAAAGAAACACCGAAAAGGCTTCTTTT